GCGCAAAAATTAAAAAAAACAAAAAAAAAAAAAAAAAAAAAAAAAACAGGTGATCAAATACCACCGAAAAAAAAAGCTCACTTTGTGGGAAAAAAAAAAAAAAGGATGTAAATTTAATTTGGGTACAGTGTTGCATGACCACGCAACTGTCAAAGTAACAGCGCCATACCGCAAAAAAATGGTGGTGGGGGGAGGAATATCCTCTGGAAAGCAAGTGGTTAAATCAGAAAAATACTAGATTATAGCCCCTAGATAGAGCTGATAAACATTTCTTATGATCATCAGCACCATCTAGTGGCCATATTGTGGTTTTCCTGGTTCCGGAGCTAATTTTAAGAATGAAAAAAAAAAAACAAAAACAAAAAAAAAAATTGGAAAAAAAAAAAAATGAAGGTTATTAGGCTATTTTCTCTCCAGGTCAAATGTTCTAAATAGATTAAAAAAAGAAAAATACTACATTATAGCCCCCCTAGATGGATCTGAGAAACAGAATATTTCCTAAGATCATAGGCTCCATCTAGTGGCCATATTGCGGTATTTTCCTGATTCACATTATACGTACGTTCTCCATAAAATGAACCAGAGCTGACAAACATATATATATCCTATGATCATCGGCTCCATCTAGTGGCCATATTGCGGTATTTTCCTGATTCACATTATGAATGTAAGTTCTCCATAAAATGAACCAGAGCTGACAAACAGAATATTTCCTATGATCATCGGCTCCATCTAGTGGTCCATAAAGCAGTATTTTCCTGATTCTTTATGAATAAAGAAAAAAAAAAATGAAAGAAAAATATTTGAAGGTTTTTAGGCTATTGGCCATATCTCTGGTCGAATGTTCTTCATAGATTAAATCAAACATAGTAATTATAGCTCCATAATGGAACTGAAAAACAAAAATTATTTCTTATGATCATCAGCTCCATCTAGTGGTCATATTGCGGTATTTTCCTGATTCACATCATACTGAATGCTCTCCATAAAATGAACCAGAGCTGACAAACATAAAATAGTTCCTATGATCATCGGCTCCATCTAGTGGTCATAAAGCAGTATTTTCCTGATTCTGGAGCTTTTTATGAATAAAGAAAAAAAAAAATGGAAAGAAAAATAATGAGGTTATTAGGCTATTTTTTCTCTGGGTCGAAATGTTCTTCATAGATTAAATCAAAAAATACTACATTATAGCCCCTAGATCACGGGTGTCAAATGGAGCTTGAAAACTACAAATCCCACAAGTTATTGCAAGATATAACAGTGACATCATGCACCATCTAGTGGCAGAGGCATGATGCTGTATTTGTAGTGATTGCAACATCTGGAATGCTCTCCATTTGGCACCCCCTGCACTACCATGAGCTGACAAACATAAAAATAGTTCTTATGATCATCAGCTCCATCTAGTGGTCATAATGCAGTATTTTCCTGATTCTGAGCTATTTTATGAATGAAAAAAAAATGAAAGAGTTATTAACTATTTTCTCTTCAGGATCAAATGTTCTTCATAGATTGAAATGTGGTAAATTTCTACATTATGGAGCCCCTATTTCATGAATCAAACTGGCAAAATCCAGGTTGCCAAACTAAAATCCCACAAGGCATGAAGATTATTAGTGACAATTTGACTCCCCAGGCAGAATGTTCATGATGGACTGTAAATCAATTGCAAAAGCTGGAGGGCCATTTGGCAGCCCTTAGATGGAGCTGATAAACATATTAAATATTTCTATGATCATGATCATCCCCATCTAGTGGTCATATTGCAGTATTTTCCCGATTCATGTTATACTGAATGTTCTCCATAAAATGAACAAGAGCAGATAAACAAATATTTCCTATGATCAGTGGCTCCATCTAGTGGTCGTAATGTGGTATTTTCCTGATTCTGGAGCTATTTTTATGAATAAAAAAAAAAAAAAAAAAAAAAATGGAAAAATAAAAATAAAAAAGGTTATTAGGCTATTTTCTCTCCAGGTCGAATGTTCTTCATAGATTAAATCAATTAAAAATACTACATTATAGCTCCAAGATGGAGCTGATAAACATTAAATATTTCCTATGATCAGCGGCTCCCTCTAGTGGTTGTAACGTGGTATTTTCCCAATTCAGGCTATTCTTATGAATTTAAAACAAAAAAACCGCAAATAAAAGAAATGAATGTTAAGCTATTTTCTCTCCAGGTCGAACGTTCATCATAGATCTAATAGCCACTAGATCACGGGTGTCAAACTGGCGGCCCTCCAGCTATTGCCAAACTACAAGTCCCATGAGGCATTGCAAGACTGACAGTGACAAGCGTGACTCCCAAAGGCAGAGGCATGATGGGACTTGTAGTTTTGCAACAGCCAGTTTGACACCCCTGCACTAGATGATCATCAGCTCCATCTACTGGCCATAACGCAGTATTTTCCTGCTCATGCTATTCTTATGAATTCGACCTGGAGAGAAAATAGCATGGTTTTAAAAGTCGATTCACACAGAACGAATATACATGCACTTTCGCCATTAACAGAGACAGATTTCACCCCGAGCACAAAAAAAAAAAAAAAAAAAAAAAAAAAAAAAAAAAAAAAAAAAAAAAAAGAAGGAATTCATAAAATATATATTTTTTTTTTGGTTAAAATAAAAATGTCCAGCCAGGCGTGAGAGAACAGGTCATGGAAACACGTTCGATGTCTCCCATTTCCTTAGGAAACATTCTAGCTGCCACCGGAATCAGCGAGTGTCGGAAGACGGAGGATAACTGCATAAAACACAGAAAGAATGGAGATGCTGCCAGCCGCCGGAGCGTTGTACAGAGCCTCACACGGATGGTGACACCTACAGGAAGGGAGGAGGAATCACACTCATGGAGGAATGATGGTACACAAACGGGGGAGGAATGGCTGCAGATGTGGGAGGGGAGAATGTCAGCGACGTGCGCAGGTCAGGAGGTCTTCGCGCTCTTGGCTCTCTCAATTTCCTGCAAGAAAGCAACAATGTATCAAAATATTAGACAAACTATCTGCATAGACTAGTAGACTGTCACACAGATGAAAATTCGATGTCATTCCAAAGTACTTAACTCCTTCACGCCGGTGCCTCCCGGCCCTTTAAGAGTTTAAGAAGCCGGGAGGCGGGGCGGGGTTTAGGGTCATGTGACTGCCGTGACGCGCAGTCACATGATCGGGAAAGAGGAGATCGGGACCAGGGGCGGACTGACAACTCATGGGGCCCCCGGGCAATCGGGGATCATGGGGCCCCTGTGTCCTTGCCCAAACTTAAAAAAGCTATGAAAAAAAAAGGTACCAGGGGCATCTCATGGGGCCCCCTACTGACCCCGGGCCCTCGGGCAGTGCCCAAGTTTCCAAATGGTCAGTCAGCCACTGATCGGGACCTCTCTGTGAGTAACGGACATTTATGCTGGCCCATGTGTCCTTTTTTAATAGGATGCAAATGTGCGGCCGCTCGGCCTCTAGGCCCAGACGCCGGGAGGCCGAACATTTGCGTTCGGCCGGCGCGAAGAGGTTAAACCAAGAAAAAAAAAAAAAAAAAAAAAAAAGTTTGCTTTTCGATTTTGAACTTAATGGACTTTCTCAAATGAAATTCCTTGGAGATTGGAAAGCCGGCCTCTGCCTACCGCCACTTCGATCCTCTCAACCGCCTGCTGGCCTTAGGACCTACCTGTACCTCCTCGGGTTTCTGTGGTTATAGCGGGGGTCAAGGCTCCAGCTGACCCCCGGTATCACTTTTACAAGTGGCGGAAGGTGGTCGCCCGTTCTACGGCGGTTCCGCCAGCTAAATATAGAGATGAGGGAGGGACTTGCGTTTCCCGATCACCTCTATGGTCCATGAAACTGGAAGGGACGAGGATTTTGTCACTTCCAATCTCAGTTTGATCAGATACTTTTGGGGGGGGGAGGGGCCGGTTCACACTATAGAAACGCAATCCAGATGTGTTACGGATGGGCTTGCGCATGCACATTTCTGACGTGTTTCGGTGCGTTTTTGACTCTCTTCAATTTAAATAGGGACATGTGCGTTTTAGGTGCATTCCAGTGCCTTTTTAAAGCGTTTTACCGCGTTCCAGTACAGTTCTGTGCAGGAAAAAATGCAGCCTGTTCCACTTTTTCTGCATCCGGAACGCACCGGAACTGCAAGCACTGATGTGAACTGCGACGTTGACACCCATATCACCTACTTTCTGTGCGTTTTGGATGCAGAATAAAAAAAAAAGCAACTGAAACGCATGGAGCGTGAACTGGCCCTTAAAGCGTCGCCTAGAGATTTAACCCCTTGACGCCGGCGCCTCCCGGCCCTTTAAGGGTTTCAGAAGCCTGGAGGCGGGGTATAGGGTCATGTGACTGCCGTGACATGCCGTCACATGATCGGGACCTTTCCATGAGTACAGGACATGTGTGCTAGGAGTGCTCTCTCTGGGAGGCCGCACATTTGTGTTCGCCCGGCGCCAAGAGGTTAAGAACCGTAGTTTGTCGCCATTCTACAGGTGTAGAAAATTTTGGAGACCCCCGTTATACAGGAACCCAACCTGATTGATCTTGGTCTTCCCCAGCCAATGGATACCTCCATACATGGCAGGAATTTGTAAGCCAATGAAGCTCTACCACTGCTGTTCTCAGTCTTTGTACCCCAGAGGAACCCTTGAAATAATTTTCAGGTGTCAGGGAATCCCTGTTGAGATTAGTCCATCAGGTGTCATAAGGAAAATGCCCTTTTACATTGGTGGTCAGAGGAAGGAATGACCTTTCTAGTACTAGTTAAAATGCCACCCTTACAGTTACCTAAAAAGGATCATTGGTGTCATTCTACTGGTTGCGCCAAGTAGGCAATGGACCAGGAACTGTGAAGGCACCATCACATGGTAGGTCAATTAACCACAGCTCAAGGAACCCCTAGCAACCTCTTAAGGAACCCTAGGGTTCCATGGAACCCTGGTTGAGAATGCTTGTTCTACCACATGGCACACTGATAATTGGTTTCCATCATGTATGGAATTACAAAAAGACTGAGGACAGGCCAACATTGGACACAAAGAGTAGATCATGCTTACAACCCGCATCATGCTGTACACTCACCTCTGAGAGGGCACCTTGAAGTTGTCCATAAGCTTCTTTTAAATCATCGTTTATAATGACGGAATCAAACAGACCAGGCTCTTTACCTGCAGACACAGACATTTATTAATGTATCACAGGGTGTGTCCTACATAAAAACCAGGACGAATGGTGGAGATTGATTGTATTTAGATTGGATACCAATAGAAAGCCATTTACACTGGATAAACCACTTGGAAGAGGTAATTATTAGCAGACTACATGGCCAAATGTTGTGTGAACACCCGACCATCACATCTATAGGAGCTTGTTGGACATCCCATTCTGAGACCATGGCCACTAATGTGGTGTTGGACTTCTTTGTGGCTATAAACGTCTTCCACTCTCTGGGAAGGCTTTCCACAAGGTTTTAGAGGGTGTCTGTGGGAATTTTTGCCCATTTGTGAGGTTAGGTAATGATGGTGGATGAGAAGAACTGGCTCACAACTGGCGTTCCAACTCACCCTAAAAGGTATTCAGTAGGGTTGAGGTCCAGAACTAACATTTGATGAGAAGACCTGGCTCACAACTGGCGTTCCAACTCACCCTAAAAAGGTATTCAGTAGGGATGATGTCAGGAACGAATGTTGGATGAGAAGACCTGGCTCACAACTGGTATGCCAACTCACCCTAAAGGTATTCAAGTAGGGTTGAGGTCCAGAACTAACGTTGGATGAGAAGACCTGGCTCACAACTGGCATTCCAACTCACCCTAAAAAGGTATTCAAGTAGGGTTGAAGTCCAGAACTAACGTTGGATGAGAAGACCTGGCTCACAACTGGCATTCCAACTCACCCTAAAAAGGTATTCAAGTAGGGTTGAAGTCCAGAACTAACATTGGATGAGAAGACCTGGCTCACAACTGGCATTCCAACTCACCCTAAAGGTATTCAGTAGGGTTGAGGTCCAGAACTAACGTTGGATGAGAAGATCTGGCTCACAACTGGCGTTCCAACTAATCCTAAAGGTGTTCAGTAGGGTTGAGCTCAGGGCTCTGTGCAGGACACCAAAGTTCCTCCACACCAAACTGGTTGAACCATGTTTTTGTGAAGCTGGCTTTGTATACAGGGGCACAGTCATGCTGGGACAGAAAAGGGTTTTCACCAAACTATAACTATAAGCTGGTTGGACATCCAATTAAAAAACCAATGCCATGAATACAAAGTTGACCTCCGGCTAGGACAGCCTCCACTCTTTTAGAAAGGCTTTCCACAAAATTTTGGAGTGTCTGGATATCGTACAGATTTTTAGGGTCAGGAATTAATTTTGGATGAGATGCCCTGGCTCGAAATTGGTGTTTTAATTCATCCCAAAGGTGTTCAGTAGGGTTGAGGTCAGGAACTAATGTTGGATGAGAAGACCTGGCTCACAACTGGCATTCCAACTCAGTAGAGTTGATGTTGGGGCTCTGTGCAGGGCACACAAGTTCCTCCACACCTAACTGGTCAGACCATGTCTTTATGGAACTGGCTATGTACACAGGGGCACAGTCATGCTAGAACAGAAGAGGATCTTCACCGAACTGCTACCACAAGATTGGAAGTTCACAATTGTCCACAGTGTCTTGGTATGCACTAGTATTACCAGCACCCTGCACTAGAAACACCTGAACTCCATCATTTGCAGAGGGGTCCTACTTTTGGGTGACTGGATTGGCTAGATCATGATCAGAAACAGTCTGTTGCTACAGAGATGCATGGGTGTACTGGATCTGATCTCCACTGACCCATTTCAGACCCTCCAAGAAATAAAAAAAAGAAAGATTAAAATATATCAAAAACATGACTAAGGTGTAATTTTTGCTTTAGCCACTTGACCTCCGGAAGGTTTTGCCCCCTTCATGACCAGGGCAATTTTTTTTGTGCTATTCAGAAATGCGTGACTTTAACTGACAATTGCATAGTTATGCAGAACTGTACCCAATTATTTTCATACAAATAGAGCTTTCTTTTGGTGGTATTTGATCATCACTCAGTTTTTTACTATATAAACAAAAAAAAAAAAAAAAAAACGCAAATTGAGGGGAAAAAAACATTTTCAGATAAAAAAAAATGTAAAAATTCTAGATAAATTTAGGCCAAAATGTATATTGCTACATGTCTTTGGTAAAAAAAAAAAAAAAAAAAAAAATTCCCAATAAGTGAACATTAATTGATTTGTGTGAATGTTATAGCGTCTACAAACTATGTGATATATACTGGAATTTACGCAGCTATAGACGCTATACTTATCATGGCAGTGATCAGCGACTTATAGTGTACCTGTGATAGTGTGGCGGGTAATCTGGCGTTAACAGACACTGGCTTGCAGTTACACTAACACTGATGTCACTAATACAGTGATCAGTGCTAATTCTATACGCGATCAATGTACTAATGACACAGGCAGGGAAGGGGCTAACATCTAGGGGCAATCAAGGGGTTAATCTCCTAGATTGTAAGCTCCAAGGATCAGGGCCCTCCTATCCCTCTTGTATTGAACTGTATTGTAAAGCGCTGAGCAAAATGTTGGCGCCATAAATCCTGTATAACAATAATAATAATACACTATACTCCTGACCCCTGTAAAGTATTCACCATGTTATCTCTTAGATTGTAAGCTCCCAGGTTCAGGGCGCTCCTTTCCCTCTTGTATTGAACTGTATTGTTGCTGTATTGTCTCCCCGTTATATTGTACAGCGCTGAGCAAACTGTTGGCGCCATAAATCCTGTATAATAATAACGGTGTGCCTAGCAAAGTGTAATGAGTGCTGACTTTACTCAGATCTGGCTGGTTTTTCTCCCTGCTTTTCAGGAAGAAGAAACAGCCAGATCACCATTCTGTGTGTTCGTAAACACAGGACCCTGTGCTGTGATTGGCCACAGCCAATCAGCAGGTATTCTGCCAACAGTCATTGGAGGAAACCTGGCTGACAAACGTGTGCTTTGTCTAATCACAGCATGGGTTAACAGGGGGCGTGCGCATGCGCATCGGAAAACGCAGAAGCGGGCAACAAAATACGGGTACATCTCCTAGCCTGAAGATGCTGCCCGCGAGCAGTAAATCTACTGTGAGCGGGCAGCAAGCGGTTCAATCCCCATCTTCCCGAAAAAAATGAGTAAGCATGTATAAGATGAGGGCCACAAAGACATAATGGATCTGCATGTACAATACACGGCCATGTGTGGGAGAGGGAACTCACTGATCTCTACGTCTTCTCTGGCTGCCTGCAGCCTCTTCTGTAAACTGTCCTCGGACTCTGTCTGGCGATCTCGCAGCCTCTTCTCCTGCAAGGCATATAAAGGAAAGTCTGAGATCAAGATTATTAGGGCGCCATTTACAGGTCGGCGCTACTGACCCAGCAATCACCAGCTATGACCCTGAAAACAAGTCCAACCCTATGGGGTAAGGACAAATACATAGTTAGTCTGGCTGAAGAAAAAAAAAAAAAAAAAAAGGCGGCTAGATGATGCTGGACGTCCCCCAGCCAGGAAATGGGGTGGTTTCTGACTCACTGCAGCTTCCAATGCACATGGTGAGAAGCTCACAGTGTGCGGTGAAATCAGAGGAAGCCGTTTCAGTCCAGGAGAGGAGCCGGTACACCTGTGCAAGACTGGAGGGGAGGAGCCGGTACACCTGTGCAAGACTGGAGGGGAGGAGCCGGTACACCTGTGCAAGACTGGAGGGGAGGAGCCGGTACACCTGTGCAAGACTGGAGGGGAGGAGCCGGTACACCTGTGCAAGACTGGAGGGGAGGAGAGCGGTACACCTGTGCAAGACTGGAGGGGAGGAGCCGGTACGTCTGTGCAAGACTGAGGGGAGGAGCCAGTACGTCTGTGCAAGACTGAAGGGGAGGGCTGGAGTGTTCCTTACCAGGATCTCGATAGAGGGGGGCTGAATGGAGATGTAGATGGGGTTCAGGTCGGTCTTCTTAATGTTCTTCACGCCCTGCATGTCGATGTCCAGTATACAGATCTGGTTCTTGGCTTGCACAGCCTGGACTGCTGCTTTGCTGGGGAAGAGAGAAGGATGGCGTGAGAAGCTCTGTACACCCCGATGGCATCTTGGATATATAAAAATGACAATTTTAGGTTTATAATATACATTAAAGCAGTATTAAACCACAAAGCACGTCTTTATTAGATTACGAATCCTTAGAGGTGATGGCTGCGTTAGTTTTCCTTTTAAGGCTTTCTTCTATTTTCCAGCCAGCAAGTCTATTGTTTTTCAAAAGCACAAGATCTCCAGAAGAAAGTATCAGTTTACAGTTGGGAAAATTATTATTTGTCCCTCCCTCCCTCCCCTATATATATATATATATATATATATATTACACATACATACACACACACACCTCAAAAGAATTAAAGGAATTAATCAATGGGAAGGAATCTCCTGCTGGATCTCTATACCGACATGGACGGGGTGATGTGTGAGGAATGTAAGGACGCCCCATCGTTTGATGGAAATTAAAATGATCGACCTACAGAGGACTGAATTCAAAGACACCCCGAAAATCAAAGTGAAAAAATGATGCAGCAGGGGAGTCCATTTTGCTGAAATGTCATTGCAGGAACTCAGAATGGTCCTCAGTAGTCTGTATGGCCCCCACGTGCTTGTATGCATGCCTGACAACGTCGGGGAAGGCTCCTAATGAGACCACGGATGGTGTCCTGGGGGATTTCCTCCCAGATCTGGACCAGGGCATCACTGAGCTCCTAGACAGTCTGAGGTGCAACCTGGTGGCGTCGGATGGACCGAAACATGACATCCCAGAGGGGTTCTATTGGATTTAGGTCAGGCGAGCGTGGGGGCCATTCAATGGTATCAATTCCTCCAGGAACTGCCTGCATACTCTCGCCACATGAGGCTGGGCATTGTCTGCACCAGGAGGAACCCAGGTCCCACTGCACCAGGAGGAACCCAGGTCCCACTGCACCAGGAGGAACCCAGGTCCCACTGCACCAGGAGGAACCCAGGTCCCACTGCACCAGGAGGAACCCAGGACCCACTGCACCAGGAGGAACCCAGGACCCACAACAGGTCCAAGGATTTCATCCCCATACCTAATGGCAGTCAGGGTGCCATTGTCTAGCCTGTAGAGGTCTGTGCGTCCCTCCAGAACTCCCGTCAAAAAAGATGAATAGGGAAAATATGTCAGTGGCCTCTACCTATAAAAGCATTCCTGTTTTGGGGGTCGTTTCATTGTTGCCCATCTAGTGCACCTGTTGTTAATTTCATTAACACCAAAAGCAGCTGAAACTGATGAACAACCCCCTCTGCTACTTACCTGACCAGATCAATATCCCAGGAGTTTTATTGACTGTATGCCAGACTCGGATTACAAAGTCTTCCTTTATTTTTTTGGAGCAGTGTGTGATATATACATATATATTTTTATATCTATTTATGTATTAATAATCTATATAACCCAGCAACAATAGACCCCCCTCCCCCCACCAGCATCAATAGAACCTCCAGCAGCCAGCAACAGTAGACACCTCCCTCAGCATCACTAGATCTTCCACCAGCAACAATTCATCTCCCCAGCAGCAATAGATCCTCGTGCAACAATAGATCATTCAACAGCCAGCATCACTAGTCCCTCCAGCAGGCCCCAGCACCCCTTTCCATTACATACATGCAAATGTAGTATCTACACACTGGGGAAGAAAGGCCTAGATGATGCTGGATGTCCTCCAGCCAGGGAATGAGGCAGAGCTCTGACTTGCTGCAGCTTCTAATGCACATTGTGAGAAGCTCACAGTGTGCAGTGAAATCGGAGTAAGCCGTTTCAGTCCAGGAGAGGAGCCGGTACACCTGTGCAAGACTAAAGGGGAGGTCGGAGGTCAGAAATAAATGACAGTTGCTCTGAGATTATGTGGATTTACCAGCAAATCTTAATCCTCCCCGGGGATTCTCTGTTATGTCGGATCCACACACAGCGGATTACTTACAGTGGTCAGAGGTGTCTGGAGGGTTACACATGACCAGGCATGTCAATCTGCTGCAGAGGAGGATTCTGGGTAATGAACCAATTAACAGCTGAGAATTAGAGGCTTAAAGACATCCGATGGCTCAGAGCCCCGGGAGACCGGTAACTATAGGATCCTATAGATCTGCAGATGGCCTGTCCCTACATGTCAACCATATAATGAGCCCCCCTGTGCATGGAGCATGCAGGGATGGAGAGCGTAGAACAACACAGGTGTCAGACAGACGCAGCTTTTTCTGGATCCACATACCTGGTCCCATACATGTTCCCGGAGAAGACGGCGTTCTCTATGAACTCCCCGTTACGGATTCCCTGCTCCATCTCCTCCCGGGAGACAAAGTGGTAATCTGTATTAGAAGAAGGGGGGGGAGGGGGGGGGGGCATGGGACAAAATCATAGAAATTATTATTTCCTTTCATTTATTGTGTACAATCATATAGGAACAACTTACAACATTTATACATTCCAAGTGACAGTTAGAACAGGTTAAAACTTGTGATGCTGAAAACTAAAAATTACAGAATGTGGTCTGACAGTATAAAAAAAAAAAAAAAAAAAAAAAAAAAAAAAACAATAAAAAAAATCAGAAAAACTTGGTGATTCTTTCCGAAAAAGTTTCTCTCTATTTTCTCCTATATGAAAATTACTACATCTGGTGAGATCCAGTCCTCAGATTTACACAGCTCTGCCGCACAGCATGGGCAAGAAACCTGAATGTCTCTCCGCTGCAGTCCAGTAACACTAACAGGTTGTGTCCCTCCCCCACAGTGAAAGGAGAAGCAGAAGACTGATGAGCTCATCTCTCTGCTCTCTCCTCCTAATGGTATGCTCCTTGCAGTGCAACACAACTGATCGACTTCTCGTGCTGCTTCTGCCTGTCCCAGTCTGAGCTCTGCTTAACAGGGACCGCAAGAGGCCAATACAAGGTCACATTCAGGTACTCTGCTTATGTTTTAACCCTCCTGGCGGTATTCCTGAGTGTAGCTTGGGGTAAAGTTTCAGCACCACAAGCGGTAACCCCCCCGAGCTACACTCGGGAATACACTGCAGCGTTGCTCCGGGATCTCTCCACTTACCTTGTCCTGCGCTCCCGCGATGTCCCTCCTGCAGTGTCCCCTGTAATGTCCTCCGGCCGATGCCGGCATCTGTCTTCCGGGTTCCGTTCCCTGCGACGTCGGGACGTACGGGGGACGGAACTAGCGGGAAATTTGAAAGTTGCAAAAGTGACATTCACTAAAATCACATAGTATAACATTCCTGTATCAAACCATTTCACATACATTTTGTCCCGAGTGCTTTGTCCGGCGCCCTGCCTGCATTTTTACTGTTCTTTCTGCCTGGAAACTGAGAAACGTCCATGGCGTCCAAAAAGCGTCCCTTTAGGTCAGACGCGGTTTTAGACCGGCTAGAGAACAGCGATAGTAAATCAGAACCACTTGCAGAATTGAGTGATAATGATTGGTGGGGGAAATTTCATCATCAGACACTGAAAACGATTCTGCGACTGAGCTCAGCGATGTGAAATACACATTTCAGTGTATTTGGTTTGATTATATTATTGAATTTATTATGATTTATTATATTATAATTTATGATTTCGTGTTTCAAGTTTTATCATCCCCGGGATGTTTACTAGACTCTTGTTCGGACAGATTTCAGTGAGTTATTCCTAAAAATTACAGGCCTACAATAAAAAAAACCCGACATATTTCCATGCAAAAAAAATGTACCGCTTTGAGCACAGAAATATGGACATAATCAGACCGCTAGGGAGGTAAAAAAAACAAAAAACAAAAACACAACATTTAAAGGAGTAGTTTAATGTAGTTAGTAGGTTGGAGGTGGGCAAATAAAAAAGCGATGCTGCAGAATTGAATGTGGTAGGGATGTGTGATTCACAAGACTGGTTGACGTTTAAGAGGAAGACTTTTCCCAGCTTTGCACACATCTCAGGAGGGATTTTAGTCCACTCTTCTTTACAGATCTTCTCGAAATCCTGGCTAGGCCACTCCATGAACTGAATGTGCTTCTTCTTGAGCCACTCCTTTGTTACCTTGATGATTGTCATGCTGGAAGACCCATCCAAGACCCATCTTCAGTGTTCTGGCTGAGGGAAGAAGGTTCTCATCCAAGATTTTACAATACATGGCCCCATCCATTGGCCCCTCAATGTGGCAAAGTCGGCCTGTACCTTTAGCAGAGAATCAGCCCCAAAGCATAATGTTTCCACCTCCGTGCTTGACTGCAGGGATGGTGTTCTTAGGGTCATAGTCAGCATTTTTCTTCCTCCAAACATGACGAGTTGAGTTAATGCCAAAAGAGCTCAATTTTGGGCTCACCTGACCACAGCACGTTCTCCCAGTCCTTCTCTGAATCATTCAGATGTTCATTGGCAAACTTCAGATGGGTCTGTATATGTGCCTTCTTGAAGGATTTCAATCCATGGTGGCATATTGCATTACCAATGGTTTGTTTGGTGACTGTGGTCCCAACTGCCTTGAGATCATTCACAAGGTCCTCCTGTGTAGTTCTGAGCTGATCCCTCACTTTTCTCATGATCATCCTTACCCCATGAGGCGAAATCCTGCATGGAGCTCCAGACCGAGGGCGATTGATGGTTATTTTGTATTTCTTCTATTTGTGAATAATCGCGCCAACAGTTGTCTCCTTCTCACCAAGCTTCTTTCTGATGGTCTTGTAGCCTATTCCAGCCTTGTGCAGGTCTACAATCTTGTCCGTGATGCCCTTTGATAGCTCTTTAGTCTTGCCCATGGTGGTGAAGTTCGAATGGAAGAAAGATTCTGTGGACAGGTGTCTTTTATACACATAATGAGTTGTCGTTAGGAGCACCTTCTTAAACTGGCAGCACTAATCTGTGTACCACATGAGCACATAGCCAGCCTTTGGGAGCCAGAATTGTTGGTTGGTAGGGGATCAAATACTTATTTAACTCACTGAACTGCAACTCCATTTATAACATTTGTATTGTGTGTTTTTCTGGATTTTTGCTTGATATTCTGTCTCTACAATTTAAAATACACTTATGATAAAAATGATAGAGCCTTTATGTCTTTGTAAGTGGGCAAATGTACAAAATCTGCAGGTAATAAAATAATTATTTTCCCCACTGTAGAAGGTATAATAATTCATGCATATGTGTTGCAACTATTTATTAAGCTGGAGTTAAGCTTTAAACCTCTGCCGATGTGATTGAGTTACCACTCTCTCTAAATATATAATACTGTATATCTTTTTTTTTTTTTTATGTACACACATGAATAAATATACTATATACACTGAACACTGAAAAAAATGAAAGGAACACTTTGAAAACCCATCAGATCTCAATGGGGACGAATCTCCTGCTGGATCTCTATCCTGATATGGATGGGTAATGTGTGAGGGACATAAGGACGCCCCATCGTTTGATGGAAATGAAAATGATCGACCTACAGAGGACTGAATTCAAAGACACCCCGAAAATCAAAGTGAAAAAATTATGCAGCAGGCGAGTCCACTTTGCTGAAACTTCACTGCAGCAAATCAAATTGGTACATAGTAGTCTGTATGGCCCCCACGTGCTTGTATGCATGCCTGACAACGTCGGGGGAGGGTCCTAGTGAGATGACGGATGGTGTCCTGGGGTACTTCCTCCCAGATCTGGACCAGGGCATCACTAAGCTCCTGGACAGTCTGAGGTGCAACCTGGTGGCGTTGGATGGACCCAAACATGACATCCTAGAGGTGTTCTATTGGATTTAGGTCAGGTGAGTGTGGGGGCCATTCAATGGTATCAATTCCTTCATCCTCCAGGAACTGGCTGCATACTCCCCCCACATGAGGCCAGGCATTGTCGTGCACCAGGAGGACCAGGAGGAACCCCAGAACCCACTGCACCAGGAGGAACCCAGGACCCACTGCACCAGTGTAGGGTCTGACAATGGGTCCAAGGATTTCATCCCCATACCTAATGGCAGTCAGGGTGCCATTGTCTAGCCCAGCAATGGGCAAACTACGGCCCGGCGGACCTTTTAATCCGGCCCGCGGAGCGTGGCAAACATTGGCGGTCAGGATGTAGGCGGGGCAGCGTGACGAACTCCTCTCCTCTCACAGTCCGCCCTGAAGACCGGAACGGCGCGGGAACACGGCGAGAGGAATGCGCGGAGCAAAGGTAAGTGAATTGACACAATAGGGGGAATGAATTACTATAGGGGGGGGATGAATTACTATAGGGGGGGATGAATTACTATATTGGGGATTAATTACTATGCTTACTATGGGGGAATATTACTATACTTACTATGGATGGCATGGTAGTGGCTGGGCCGGCCAGCAGCTAGTCCGGCCCCCGGGTCCAATATATGAACCCATTGCGGCCCTCAAGTCAAAAAGTTTGCCCACCCCTGGTGTAGCCTGTAGAGGTCTGTGCGTCCCTCCATGGATATGCCTCCCCAGACCATCACTGACCCACCAAAAAAATGGTCATGCTGAACCATGTTACAGGCAGCAGAACGTTCTCTATGGCTTCTCCAGACCCTTTCATGTCTGTCACATGTGCTCAGGGGGAACCTGCTCTCATCTGTGAGAAGCACAGGGTGCCAGTGGTGGACCTGCCAATTCTGGTGTTAAATGGCAAATGCCAATCAAGCTCTATGGTGCCAGGCAGTGAGCACAGGGCCCACTACAGGACATCTGGCCCTCAGGCCACCCTCGAAGTCTGTTTCTGATTGTTTGTGGTCAGAGACATTCACACCAGTGGCCTGCTGGAGGTCATTTTGTAGGGCTCTGGCAGGGCTCATCCTGTTCCTCCTTGCACAAAGGAGCAGATACCGATCCTGCTGATGGGTGAAGGACCTTCTACGGCCCTGTCCAGCTCTCCTAGAGTAACTGCCTGTCTTCTGAAATCTCCTCCATGCTCTTGAGACTGTGCTGGGAGACACAGCAAACCTTCTGCCAATGGCACGTATTGATGTACCATCCTGGAGGAGTTGGACTGCCTGTGCAACCTCGGTAGGGTCCCGGTATCATCTCATGCTACCAGTAGTGACACTGACCCAGGCCAAATGCAAAAAAAAAAGTGAAAAAAAAAAAAAAAAAAAAACAGTCAGAAAAGATCAGTAGGGAAAACAAGGTCAGTGGCCTCCACCTGTAAAACCATTCTTGTTTTCGGGGTTGTCTCATTGTTGCCCATCTAGTGCACCTGTTAATTTCAGTAACACCAAAGCAGCTGAAACTGTTTAACAACCCCCTTTGATACTTAACTAACCAGATCCATATCCCAGGAGTTTCACTGACTTCATGCTAGACTCGGATTACAAAGTCTTCCTGTAATTGTTTTGAGCAGTGTGTGTAATAAATATATATATATATATATATATATATATATATATATATATATATATATATATATATATATATATATATATATATATATATATATATATATATATATATATATATATACATACATACATATACATATACATATACATACATATATATATATACACACACACACACACACACACACATATATACATATAGAGAAGAATATACATATAAATACATACACACATACTAAAAACTAAATACAAACATACCACAAATACTAAAAAGTGGCTTTACCTTTCCCATCACACTCTCCAGGCCTCGGCTTCCTGGTTGTGTCTGAAATTAAGCAAAATAAAAAAAAAAAAAAAATTTACCAAACAAGGAAATATAAATTCAGACGGACATAAAAGTGGGACAAACATAAGACTTTTAAAATACAGCCACTTACCTGTCCCTCGGTCCAGCGATGTCCTCACCACCGCTGGTTTCACCGACCGTCTTCTCTCCCTGGCACCGGCATCTTTAGTGTGGGCACCCGGCTGTGACAGTTTGGGGCTTCACAGCTGGGTGCCTACTGCGCATGCGCGAAAAGCGCTGCGCTTTGTGAATGGCCCCGTAGTTTTCTGGGACCTGTCATGTGTCCCAGAAGACTAAGGGGAGGGAGGGTAGGAGGACAACTTCCGCTTCCGATCGCCTAGGCGATTGCAGTGGAAGTGGGAGAGGGCACCTGTCAAATTCAGGTACCCGTTCCCCAAAGGTGCCAATCGTTAATGGGGAGCGGGGGACAAAGGCTTAAAGCAAAGCTTCCCCATTTGGGTGAAGCTTTGCTGTAATATGAGCTAAAATGCTCTTTGTCCCCAACTCAGCTTAGAGTCCAATGCTCTCTCTTGATCCAGCCCTGAAGAAGAGGGACCTTTGCAAACCCTAAAACGTGTTGGCTTTCCCTGGTGAGTGCAAATAAATTTCCATTTCGGGCTTCCAAGGTGGAGCGGTTCTTCTATTCCTCACCCCATCCTAATGTTCTCATAAGGACATCTACATCCTAGAAATATACCACCAGCTAACTCCCATATAAAAACCACAATGATAAAAGGACATACACATTACTACTCTTACTGATATATTGGAAGAGCGATGATGAAGATGCATTATTGGGGACTTACGGGAGACGGAGAAGCCGAATACGCCTTCATAATCATTCAGCAGCCTCTTCAGCAGTGTGCTCTTCCCAGCCCCCGAGGGTCCGCTCAGCACCACTGGTCTGGGTCCAGCCATGACTGTGGAGACAAGACACCATCATTCATACAATATTCTGGAGGACACACCAGCTGAATACATTATTAACCCAGAAAAACAGATGATATTTCCACCCCAAATACGCCAAGACTGAAAAGAGAACAAAAATGTAACCCCTTCCCTCACTCCCTGGTGTCCCTTTAAACAGTTCTAGTTGTCTGGAGGGTGGGAAGGATTGACGATCATGTGACCATGGTCACATGTTGAGGAGCCAGTCCCACCAGCTTCCGTTCTTTAGTTTGGATCGTGAACGGTCTTTGACAGCTTAGTCTTTGTGGTGGATCACATTGGACCAGCTTGGACCAATGTAACTATGTATATACTATACCTGTAGGATCCCCTTGGAAGCTGGAAATCATAGTAGGCATGGCTACTCTAGTGGTCTCCTCTAGCTTCTGGGTGCCATGATGGGTGGCTGTCCTCTAAACTTTGTAAAGATTTCCTCCGATTTCCTGTTGTGTCACAGGACGAATTGATGGGAAATCTCTCCAGTATGGATTCCTGACCACACATGAAACAACCGGTTATATATTTTTTGGCTTCTACTTGTCCAGCTTACAACCATCCATAGACATATCAGTGGTCTTGGAGGCTTGAATGCTCATCTAAGAAAGTTTGTTCATACAAAACGGGTCTTTCAGATATGATCATTCGCAAAAAAAACATCAACGTGGAGTAGGAATGTGGTTTGGCCATAGGAAAGACGATCTTTCTGGAGACCTACTTATTGACCGGTTACATACAACACACAGGCCTGTCTCCTGCATCTGAAAGCACCAGCTCGGTCTTAGCCAACTCCATAAAATGTGAAGCATTTGAACAGACTAGATTTTTGGTGGAGAAAGTTGTTGCCGAGGAATGTTCCTTGATAAGAAAGTTGACAGAGAAGTCTGGTGTGTACTCCATGTCTGAGGCTAGGTGAAGCATTGTTTTCGGACTATTGTTCTATGGGTCATATCACCCCTGGGGTTGAGTACAGATCGGCACAGGGTGGAGACAGACAGACAGCGCTGAGGAATTTGTTTCATGGAAGACAAAGGATCACCAAGCTCTGAAGGTGGTGCAATCTTATGTTACACCGGACACAAGACGGTCAGAAGATGGAGGATCAAAGTTGATGCGTAATACAATATAAGTTTTCTTTGAATAGACAGGTGTTCTGTCAAAATATATGACCAAGAGGTTGTGGACACCTGCCCATCACACCTACATGAATGTCTGCTCTCCCCGGACCCCGCATTCACTATGTCCGCTCTCCCCGGACCCTGCATTCACTATATCCGCTCTCCCCGGACCCCGCATTCACTATATCCGCTCTCCCCGGACCCTGCATTCACTATATCCGCTCTCCCCGGACCCTGCATTCACTATATCCGCTCTCCCCGGACCCCGCATTCACTATGTCCACTCTCCCTGAACCCTGCATTCACTATATCCGCTCTCCCCCCGGACCCTGCATTCACTATGTCCGCTCTCCCTGAACCCTGCATTCACTATATCCGCTCTCCCCCCCGGACCCTGCATTCACTATATCCGCTCTCCCCGGACCCCGCATTAACTATGTCCGCTCTCCCCGGACCCTGCATTAACTATGTCCGCTCTCCCTGAACCCTGCATTCACTATATCCGCTCTCCCACAGTACACAGAACATGGAAATTATAAGTTTTTTCTTTCTGCTCTAGGAGGATGCAGGACCCCTGACCTCTGTCTGGACAGTGCTGATTGGCCCTGTGGTGACCACATGCACTCTCCCAAGAAAAAAAAAAAAAAGAACCTCTTTAGGAATACACACCAAACTGATCATTGTAATAAAAGTTGCAAATTTTAGAATACTGAAAAGTAGAGATTCGGCTCACATCTTATTTAACAGCTTGAGCTCCGGAAGGTTTTACCCCTCTCATGACCAGGCCAAATTTTTTGCTATTCAGCACTGTGTTACTTTAATCGCTTCCACACCGCCCTATTGCAGAAAAACTACTACAGGGCGGCACAGGGTGTGCAAAATCACACATACATATTAATTTATATATATATATATATATATATATATATATATATATATATATATATATGTATGTATATGACTTAGCAGTTTTGGGTAGGGGGCGTGCGTGCCGCCATTCACGGCCTCAGCTGTCAATCCCTGAGTCCCGACCGGTGATTTCTCACCAACACCTGGTGATCGCCGAGCATCTCCGACGGGGGAGAGACCTGTGTATAAACCACACTCTCCCTGTCAGCTCCTGCACACTGCTTTGTATGGTGCTGCATAGCAGAGTCATACAGAGCAGTGAGCTTACAATGAAACAGCACCCAGTTAACCCTTTGATTGCCCCATGTGTTAACCCCTTCCTGCCCAGTGCCAATAGTACTGTGTCAGTGCTTTTTTTTTTTTTTTAGCACTGAACACTGTATTGGTGTCACTGGGGATGTCAGTGACACCAAATCAGTTCCCCCCCCTCCAGTGTCAGAATGCCCGCCGCAGTCCTGCTATAAGTCGCTGATTGCAGCCATTACTAATAAAAAAAAAAAATTCCAGGATCTATACCGCTACAATTTTCACGTAAACCAGATAATTTACACATATTGGGAATTTTCTTTAGCGAAGACACGGAGCAGAATACATTTTGGCCTAAATTTATGCCGAAATTTGATTTTTACATTTTTTTTATTGGACATGTTTAATAGCAAAAAGTCAAAAAAAACTCTCAAAATCGTCTTTTTTTTTGTTTATAGCCCAAAAAAATAAATTAAAAAAAAAAAAAAAAAAAAACACAGGCGATCATATACCACCGAAAGAAAGCTCTATTTCTGGGGGAAAAAAAGGACAAATATTCATTTGGGTGCAGTGTTGCATGACCGCGCAATTGTGAAAGTAACACAGCGCTGTATCGCAAGAAAAAAAAAAAACTGGCCTGGTCGGGGGGGGGGGGGGGGGGAATCCTCAGGAGGGTGAGTGGTTAACTGGCAATTGTGCAGTCATGCAACACTGTACCGACACAAAACAGATGTCATTTTTTTTCAAAAAAATAGAGATTTCTTTTGGTGGTGTTTGATCGCCACTTTTTATTTTTTGCTACATAAGTGAAAAAAAAAAAAAAAAGACTGAAAATGTTGAAAAAAAAAAAAAATTTCTGTCACAATATTATTGGTAAAAAAAAAAAAAGCAGCCCCACAAGTGTATATTACTTGGTTTGTGTTAAAGTTATACCGTCTACAAACTATATACTAGAATTTACGCAGTTATGACACTATACTGGTAATGGCGGTGATCAGCGACTTCTAGTGTGATTGTGATAGTGTGGTGGGCAATCCGGCACTAACTGACACTGGCTGGGAGGGTCACTGACACTTACAGCAACAGTGATCTCATATAATATTGTACACTGTACTAATGACACCGGCTGGGAAAGGGTTAACATCAAGGAATCAGCTGTGTGCCTAACAATTGGTGTCCAATCACAACACAGGTCAGCAGTTGTCACTGGCTCAGTGATCTCTGTACAGCGCTGCGGTATATGTCAGAGCTATATAAATGTATTATAACAATAGTGTGTGACTGTGGGGGGGGGGGGGGGGGGGGGGGGGGGGGGGGGGGGGTGGGCATTAGAGCATAAGCTCCTCTGGTACAGAGACTGATGCGACTGTGGGGGGGGGGGGGGGGACATTAGAGTGTAAGCTCCTCTGGTACAGAGACTGATGCGACTGTGGGGGGGGGGGGGGGACATTAGAGCGTAAGCTCCTCTGGTACAGAGACTGATGTGACTGTGGGGGGGGGGGGGGACATTAGAGTGTAAGCTCCTCTGGTGCAGAGACTGATGTGATTGTGGGGGAGGGGAGGGGGACATTAGAGTGTAAGCTCCTCTGGTACAGAGACTGATGTGACCGGCTCAGTGATCTCTGTACAGCGCTGCGGTATATGTCAGAGCTACAGGGTTAAAACAGGTGGTGAGGAGGCAGCATATCACCTCCTCACCACCAGTCAAATGCCCTCTGAACAGGGATCCACCACTGATCACATTTCAGAGGGGTGGCAAGGGCTGTTGCACATGTGAACAAACCGTTAGTTTTTTTGTTCTTGATCGAACAAAAAAACTTCCTGCCCCGTTCCATCGAATGTTCTCGCTGCAGTCATGGACATTCCAAAAACAACATTTTCCAGCAAAGTTATACTGGCGTTCGAATCGTTGAGTGCAGATTCTGATGCGAATGTACAGCATGAAAAGCGAGGCGTAAATGATTGGCGCTGTATAAATGCCAGTAATAATGAGCAATCAATCAGATTATACCGACAAGCAACAATCGATCAGATTATACCGACAAGCAACAATCGATCAGATTATACCGACAAGCAACAATCGATCAGATTATACCGACAAGCAACAATCGATCAGATTATACCGACAAGCAGCAATCGATCAGATTATACCGACAAGCAACAATCGATCAGATTATACCGACAAGCAACAATCGATCAGATTATACCGACAAGCAACAATCGATCAGATTATACCGACAAGCAGCAAATCAATCAGATTATACCGACAAGCAACAATCGATCAGATTATACCGACAAGCAACAATCGATCAGATTCTAGATTATACCGACAAGCAACAGTCGATCAGATTATACCGACAAGCAACAGTCGATCAGATTATACCGACAAGCAACAATCGATCAGATTATACCTATAACAAGCAACAATCGATCAGATTATACCTATAACAAGCAACAATCGATCAGATTATACCTATAACAAGCAACAATCGATCAGATTATACCTATAACAAGCAACAATCGATCAGATTATACCTATAAACAAGCAACAATCGATCAGATTATACCTATAACAAGCAACAATCGATCAGATTATACCTATAACAAGCAACAATCGATCAGATTATACCTATAACAAGCAGCAATCGATCAGATTATACCTATAACAAGCAGCAAATCGATCAGATTATACCTATAACA